GGCGTCTCTAGGATTCATTTTTCGGGGGGGCACATGGAGGGCCAGTGACAAAAGTAGGGGGGCACATTTAACCCCGTCCTCGCCACAGTTTGACCCCGCCCCTGTCACATGTTAAGCCACGCCCCCGACACAATGTGTTTTGTTTTTTTAATAATACCTGGTGGAGGAATCATGATTTTCCACCAGGGATTATTAAAAAAACAAACACATTATCCTTGATACAGTGCCATAGTTGCCAACATTTGAAAAAAAATTTCCAAGGACATTTTGCAGCACAGCTATCAATTACTGTCTGGGTATAATATTCCTGGACAGTCAGTGCTCTCTGTATAATACAGGGTTGTGTGTATAATAAATTGGGACACTCAGTGCTCCCTGTATAGTGCTGCTCTCTGTATAATCCCAAGACAGAGAGCAGCACTATACAGGAAGCACTGACTATCCCAGGATATTTTATACACACAGATCTGTATTATACAGATAGCTGAGCATATACCCCAATCTCTAGACTACTTGTACCTGTCAACAGCAGCTCCCAGACGCGTGTAACAGCGCTAAAGTGTGCGGCAGCTCACACAGGTTATTCAGCGGTAAAGTGCACTCGCTGGCAGAGCCAAACTGGGAATCCCTGGGAATCCAAAGCAGCCCTGGAAAAAAAATGTATGCCATTCCTACAAGTCAAAATGACACACACATGCTCACTAAATAGAAGCTCACTGACACACACACAAGCAGTACCATTTTAACAGAGTTAAGGGCCCCTGGGCAAAGCAATACACTGGGGCCCTTCCTACACAACTCACAGGAATTTTAATTATTGACTGCGGAGTCCATACACACACAGACTGCTGAGTCCATACACACACACAGACTGCTGAGTCCATACACACACAGACTGCTGAGTCCATACACACACAGACTGCTGAGTCCATACACACACACACACAGATTGCTGAGTCCATACACACACACACACAGATTGCTGAGTCCATACACACACACAGACTCTGCTGAGTGCATACACACACACACACACACACTCTGCTGAGTCCATACACAAACACAAACAGACTGCTGAGTCCATACACACACAGAGACTCTGCTGAGTCCGTACATACACAGACTGCTGAGTCCGTACACACACAGACTGCTGAGTCCATACACACACACAGACTGCTGAGTCCATACACACACACAGACTCTGCTGAGTCCATACACACACACACACACACACACACTCTGCTGAGTCCATACACACTCTGCTGAGTCCATACACACACACAGACTCTGCTGAGTCCACACACACACAGACTCTGCTGAGTCCACACACACAGACTCTGCTGAGTCCATACACACACACAGACTCTGCTGAGTCCATACACACAC